CGCAAAGATTGTCAAAGATGCTTTATGCCGTAATGGGCTTTGTATGTCAATGTTGCGAGGGCAAACATATGATGGAGTTTCAAATATGGCTGGTAAATTTCATGGTGCACAGGCATTAATCAAGCAGGAACAGCACTTTGCCATTTATGTCCATTGCGGTGCACATTACACAAATTTAGTTATGCAGGGCGCAGCACATCAATGTCCATTAATGGAAGATGCACTTATGTGTGCAAGATCTTGGCAATCTCTTTGGGCAATCTATGAAATGCAGAACCACATTTTCAGAAATCTTGCAACGTGAAGCTGAAGGGCCTCTTAAAATCTTGCATATTAAATCATTGTGCCCAACACGCTGAACTGTTAGAGTGAAGTCTGTGAAAAAAAGTCTGGATAATTACCAGCTGATTTTGGAAGCATTTAAAGAAATTGTGAATTACAGAATTAGTGGAGATATGCATCCACGTGCACGTGGCCTACTACAACAATTTAGGCGAGAGAAAACTCTTTTAGGTCTTCAAATCTCTCTTAACGTCATGGAGATCTTAGAATGCCTGAATATAGAAATATGTTTATGGGATCCACCAGTACTGGTTTTGTCCTCACGGGACAGACCTCCAGTGGATTCCAAAAGACACCTAAATGGACACTCCAGGGGTGTCCTGGGGCTTAACCCCTAAATGAACAAAAAAAAGTTAAGTCAAAGCACTGGAAAACCAGTGACTTGAGCTTCTGCTGGAATTGTAATCTATTAAAATAAATATTTATTGGTAATGCCAGGATGTATACAACAAAACCTCTTATCTAGATTAAGACATCATCCCAGTGTGAAAAGAAATGTGAAAACAGCCTGTTGGGCAGAACCTCCCTTTAACTAATCAGTGACTGCAATATACTGTGGACTACTGACTTTATACTTCTTGGGTCAAAGTCCAATTAAAATAAAAAAATATATCAAATAGGTCACGGAGAAAAGTGCCTAATTCCAAGCATACTACTTGTTAACATCAAAATTATCTAATAAACTTAGTAACGATATTGTTACAATTTCTAAGTTAGAATGTATCTAAATGTCCATATGTTGCTGAATAGTTTGTTAGAGCCCTGTGCTCACTAAAATTGCTATAATTGCAATACCAAAATAGTGGAACTGTAAGAAAGACTCTCAAGCTAGTATGATGAAAACAAGTGAAAAGACTGTTATGATAACTATAGTCTAATTCACATAATTCTAAATTCTAACTTAGAAACTGTAACAATATCGTTACTAAGTTCATTAGATAATTTTGATGTTAACAAGTTAACCTGCTGGTGCGACCTATACCCCTATCCCCACCATGGACAAAGAGGAACCCATGCAAATTGGAAAACTGAATACCATGCTCTCGGTAAATGAAAAAGCTAGAAGGAGAGCCAAAGGCCTTTGCTTCTATTGTGGCAAGGGAGGCCACTACATCAGCTATTGCCCGATACATCCTCCTCGCCCTAAACATAGCCATGTGTCACCATCCTACAAGTCCATCATGGCCTCTTTTTTGTTTAACTCTGCATGCTACTGGACCGCAAAGCCCACCTAACCAGACCAATGGCACAATCACAGCCCTGGCTAACCCTTCTCCTGTTCCAGAGCCTCAAAAGGAGGCTGCTGTGGCTACCTTCCAATCCTCAGCTTCTTTCTCCCCTTAAGTTTCCTGCTCTAACACAGAGGATCTGTTCCCAGACTGTGTAATTGCCTCCAATGGAACCGTGGTCCGCAGGCAAGATCTAAAGGTCTTTGAGCAGGCTCTTAAGGCCAGAGCTGCATCCCCTTCTCACCTCCTTGCCTCCACTGCCTTCTCAAAGAATAACAATCTGCAAAATGTTCCAACCCTCTCAGATCCTGATGATTCTGATGCCTATACAGACCTGGATTGATTTCCTGTCTGAACCTGAACTGGACTAGTTGAAGCCCCGTCTGTTTGCCCCCGGATATCCTTATGGGGGGGCTGACTGACTGATTTCCTGGACTCTGACCTCTGCCTGATTTACTGACTTTGTTACTCTGTTGCCAGCCATGACTTCTGCTTCTCGTCTGACCCTGTCTTTGGATTTATCCTTAATCTGTACTGCACTTCTGGTTTTTGCTTCCTCCCTGTGCCATCTCCTGCAACTGGGCTCCAACTCCTGGTAAACTCCTGCATAAGTCCCCAGGTGACTGTTACACGGAGCACTAATGACATCAATTGTGCCATATACACTACCCACAACATTAAAACCACAGACAGGTGAAGTGAGTAACATTGATTACCGTATTTATCGGCATATAACACGCACTTTTTCTCCCTGAAAATAGGGAGCAAATTGTGGGTGCGTGTTATACGCCGGCCCTATAAATACTGCAGCCGCCTGAGCGCTCTGTCAAGAGCGCTCAGGCGGCTGCAGTTGGTACAGTTGTTTTCTGTTTCCTGTACCCGGTCGAACTGACAGGAAGGTGCGCACTGAGCATGCACCTTCCTATCACTCCGGCCGGCCACCGCGGACAGCAGAGCGGCTCGGCCACGCTACAGGGAAGGGGGGTAAGAAGGGGGTGAATAGAGGAGGGTAGAAAGAGAGGAGTGGGGAGTAGAGAGAGGAGGGAGGGGGAGTAGAAAAGGGGGGGAGTAAAAAGAGGAGGGGAGTAGAAGGTGGGTAGAAGAGAGGGGAGTAGAAGGGGAAGAGGAGGGAAAGTAAGAAGAGAGGGGAGGGGAGTAGAAAGGTAGAGAAGGGGAAGTAAGAAGAAGGGGGGTAAGAAGTTCTTTATTTGAAATTTAAAGGACCACTCTAGGCACCCAGAGCACTTCAACTTTATGAAGTGGTCTGGGTGCCAGGTCCCTCTAGGATTAACCCTTTTTTTTATAAACATAGCAGTTTCAGAGAAACTGCTATGTTTATACTGAGGGTTAATCCAGCCTCCAGAGCCTCTAGTGGCTGTCTCATTGACAGACGCTAGAGGCGCTTGCGTGCTTCTCACTGTGAAAATCACAGCGAGAGCACGCAAGCGTCCATAGGAAAGCATTGTAAATGCTTTCCTATGCGACCGGCTGAATGCGCGCGCGGCTCCTGCACTATAGTGGTCCTTTAAGTTTTTTTTTCCCTGAAATTTCCTTCTTAAAATGAGGTGCGTGTTATACGCCGGTGCGTGTTATACGCCGATAAATACGGTATATTTTTATAATTGCACCTGGCAAGGGGTAGGATATATTAGGCAGCAAGTCACCAGTCAGTTCTTGAATTTCCCATGTTGGAGGCATGCAAAATGGGCAAGTGAAAAGAATTAAGTGATGGCTAGTCGACAGGATCTGAGCATCTTAAAAGTGGCATGCAGTGGTATACCTAACAAAAGTTGTGCAAGAACAACAGGTGAACTGGTGTCAGGGTCATTGGCAACCAAGTCTTATTGATGCACGTGGGGAGCAAAGGCTAGCCTGTCTGTTTCGACCACAGATAATAGCTGCAACAGCTCAAATTGCAGAAAAACTTAATGCTGACCATGTTATAAAGGTGTCAGAACACACAGTGCATCACAGTTGGCTACATAGCTGCAGACTGATCAGAGTGCCCATGATGACCCATGTGCAAAGCCAAAACCGTCCAGTGAGCGTCAGAACTGGACCATGGAGCAATGGAAAAAAGATGCCTGGTTTCATATTTACATTTTCTTTTAGACTAGCAAGATGGCTGCAGAAGCAGAAGAAGGTAAGCCAGCAGAGGCAGTGTTATACTCTGGGCAATGTTCTTCTGGCGAACCTTGGGTCCTGGAATTTATGTGGATATAACTTTGCCATGTATTTAGAGCTTGTTTCAGGCCATGTACACTCCTTCATGGCAAAGCTGTTCTCTGATGGCTGTGGCTTCTTTCACCAGTATAATGCACCCTGCAAAAATTGTTTGGGAATAGTTTGAGGAACATGACAAAGAGTTCAAGGTGTTGCCTTGGCCTCCTAATTCCCACAATCTCAAGCCAATTGAGCATTTGTGAGATGTGATGGACCAACAAGTCCATTCCATGGAGGCCCCACCTTGCAACCTGCACATTTTAAAGGATCTGCTGCAAATGCCTTTGTGCCAGATACCACAGGACACGTTCAGAGGTCTTGTGGAGTCCATGCCTTGAAGCAATGCCTTATCAGTGTAATAAATGAAACCCTTGCACATAAGATTTGCAACCTATCTAAGGACAAAAACACGAAACTGTGCAGCTGCAGTCAGAATAAACAAATAAGTTTAGCCCAAATATTTACCAAGAAGTATCAACCCTAAGTAATACTGAAACACATACACGAAAAAGAAAGTTCAGCCTCTTTGAATTCTATGATTATAACTTTTCAGAACATAACAATAATCTGTTCCTTAGCAGGTCTTAAAGTTAGATAAATACAACCTCAGATGAACAACACATGACCTGTTACACAGTGTCAAGATTATAACAAAAATAAAGCCAAAATGGAGAAGCCATGGAGAAGTACAACCTTACTTCTTCCATAGGAATTAGAAGGCAACGTAGCAGACAGGTATATATATATTTACAGGATCTCACAAAAGTGAGTACACCCCTCACATTTTATTATATCTTTTCATGTGACAACACTGAAGAAATGACACTCTGCTACAATGTAAAGTAGTAAGTTTACAACCTGTATAACAGTGTAAATTTGCTGTGCCCTGAAAATAACTCAACACACAGCCATTAATGTCTAAACCGTTGGCAACAAAAGTGAGTATACACCCCTAAGTGGAAATGTCCAAATTGAGCCCAATTAGCCATTTTCCCACCCCGGTGTCATGTGACTCGTTAGTGTTACAAGTTCTTAGGTGTGAATGTGGTGCATGTGTGTTAAATTTGGTGTTATCGCTCTCACACTCTCTCATACTGGTCACTGGAAGTTCAACATGGCATCTCATGGCAAAGAACTCTCTGAGGATCAGAAAAAAAGAATTGTTGCTCTACATAAAGATGGCCTAGGCCAGGAATAGGCAACCTTCGGCACTCCAGATGTTGTGGACTACATCCCCCATAATGCTGGCAAAGCATCATGGGAGGTGTAGTCCAAAACATCTGAAGTGCTAAAGGTTGCCTATGCCTGGCCTAGGCTATAAGAAGATTGACAAGATCCTGAAACTGAGCTGCAGCACGGTGGGCAAGACCATACAAAGGTTTCACAGGACAGGTTCTACTCAGAACAGGCCTCGCCATGGTCGACCAAAGAAGTTGAGTGCATGTGCGCAGCATCATATCCAGAGGGTGTCTTTGGGAAATAGACGTATGAGTGCTGCTAGCATTGCTGCAGAGGTTGAAGGGGTGGAGGGTCAGCCTGTCAGTGCTCAGACCATATACCGCAGACTGCATCAAATTGGTCTGCATGACTGTCATCCCAGAAGGAACCCTCTTCTAAAGATGATGCACAAGAAAGCCCGCAAACCGTTTGCTGAAGACAAGCAGACTAAGGACATTGTAATAAACTTTAACTCGCAAGTTGGAGTAAACTTGGAATTAATAATAACATTAATAACTAAAAATAATAACTTAAAAACCGAGTGTAAAGTCCACACTCCTTGCTTTCGGCAATTCAATAATATTTATTAATAGAGGCTAATCAAACAAATAAACAATACATATACATTTGAAATAGGCTAGTATATGTTGCTACCAAAACTAGTCATTGATTGAAAGGAAAGTAGACTAAAGTAACATAGTAAAGCAGGCATATCCACGTGATACAGTTACCACTCCATTGATCATCAGCTGAGAGTAAGAGAGAGAGGGTGTGTATAGTGGGGAGAGGGAATAGAGAGAGAGAGAGAGTGAGGAGGGTGAATTCAAAGAGAGAGAGAATGTGCTATTCACAGGGCTTTTAACAAGTTAGCCCTTCCTTCTTCTGGACACACCTCCCTCAGCCAATCCCTTAGGATGTAACAGAACCAGAGTGCCTCCTGGGGGAAGGGGGATTTCACTGGAAGGGAATGGAGGAGGAGTTTATCAACAACCCAACTGGTTTTGCCTGGTGAAAGGCCATGTGCTTCACAGAGGACTTTATTATTGCCTAAGGGTAGAATGGGGCTTGAATCCCTGTATTAGAACACAATAACACTGCATTGGCATACAATGTGGCTGTTGATCAGTCCCCCCACTTCTTACATCTCTCCTATTGGCAATGAAGTGGATAAGATACTTAGACTCTATAAAACCCAACAGAGATAAGAGAGAGCGAGAATGCATCCTGCAGTATCTACTTGTGTGAAAGCACCGCCCATTGCTTAAATAGAGCTCGTACCATTTGCATATCATATTGGAGATGATATACTTGGGCAATCAATGACTTCAGGTAACAACACATACCAACCTGATTAACAATGCAGGGCCGCCATCAGGGCATGACAACCGCAACGGTTGTCATGGGCCCGGCGGTCCTGGGGGGCCCGGACTGCTCAGGTCGTCCGGGCCCCACATTCAGTGGGTACATACCGGGTCGCAGGGGACCCTGCGACCCGGTATGTACCCACAGGGCCAGCCTCTTCTCCTGGGGGGCCCAGCAGCCGGTCACCTCAGGGCCCCCAGAGGCTGGCCCTGCTGACACCCGGCCGGCGCGCGAGGGAGCACTCTCTGAGTGCTTCCTCTTCAGCTCCCTCGCGCGCCGCGTACTGATGCCGGAGCCGGAAGATGACGTCATCTTCCGGCTCCGGCATCAGTACGCGCGAGGGAGCTGAAGAGGAAGCACACAAGAGTGCTCACTCGCGCGCCGGCCTGCCCACCGGGTGTCAGGGGGGGAAGAATGAAATTCGAGGGGGGGTGGAGGAATGAAATGGGAGGGAGGGAAGGAATGAAATGGGAGGGGGGGGGTGGAGGAATGAAATGGGAGGGGGGAGGAGGAATGAAATGGGAGGAGGGGAGAGAATAAATGGGAGGGGGGGGAATGAAATGAGGGAGGGGAGTGAGAAATCGGAATGGGAGGAGGTAAGTGAATGAAAATGTAAAGGGAGGGGAGAGAATAAAAATGGAGGGGGGGAATGAAATGGGAGGAGGGGGGAGAGAATAAAATGAGGGGGGTGGAGGAAACGAAATGAGGGGGGGAAGGGAAATGAACTCTGAGGGGGAGGGGGGAGAGTGAAGGAAATCTGAGGGAGGGAGGGCAAGGAAATGAAATGGAGGGGTGAGGAAATGAAAATGGGAGAGGGGGGGGGAGGAATAAACTATGAGGGGGAAGGAATTAAATTTGAGGGGGGGACAGGAATGAAATTTGAGGGGAGGGGCAGAGCAGGAAATCTTGTGGGAGGGGGAGGAAGGAAATTAGAGGGAGGGGGACAGGAAGGAAATTGGAGGAAGGGAGAGAGGAAGGAAATTTGAGGACGGGGAGAGGAAGGAAATTTGAGGGACGGGGGAGAGGAAGGAAATTTGAGGGACGGGGAGAGGAAAATTTGAGGGACGGGGGGAGAGGAAGGAAATTTGAGTGACGGGGAGAGGAAGGAAATTGGAGGGGAGTGGAAGGAAATTGGAGAGGGAGGGGGAGAAGAAGGAAATTGGAGGGAGGGGGGAGGGGGAGAGACTGACATTCATCACACACAATGCACCCCTTGCACACAGAAAAACACACAATGCATTACACACAGACACACGTACACAAGCAATGCATCCCTTACACACAGCAACACACAATGCACCCCTTACACACACTCAATGCATCCCTTACAGACACACACTGCATCCCATACATACACAAACTCATCTTGCAGCCCTTACACATACAAACACAGATTCACACAATGTATTCCTTACACACATCAGGACATCCCCCACACACACACTCCACTCCCTGTGAACAAACTCATTGGTGGAACATGAAGGTGGACCCTGGGACCCAGACCTTGAGCTGTGTAAAGGGCCCTCAAAAAAATGGAGCTGCTTCCCGTTCTCCCAGAACAGTGATTTTTGTGACCACAGTTACAAACCGCCTCCAGAGAGCCTGTTGTACACCAGACCAGTGGAGCCAGACGGCAGCTAGAGCCCATCATCATCCTCATCTGGTTGTAAGTAGGCAATCTAGTATATTATTCGTGGCACTAATCTCTAATTTACCTCACATTAAAGGGACACTATAGTCCCCAGAACAACTGCAGCTTAATGTAGTGGTTCTGGTGTCTAGCCTGTCCCTGCAGGCCTTTTAATGTAAACACGGCGGCACTGCAGCACTGGTGTTAGTTAACATGGCAGATCATATGGGTGGGGCATTGTGATGTCACATGGGGGGGCGGCAAACTTTACTTTTGCCTAGGGCGGCAAAAATCCTTGCACCGGCCCTGCAGACACTGCATCCCTGTGGGCGGATTCGGGGGGGGGGGCAGCACTTTGGGCGGACTCGGGTGCAGGCACCGGGGGGCCCAGACCTTGAGCTGTGTCAGGGGCCCCAACATTTCTGATGGCAGCCCTGCTGCCAAGTGACCCTATGTAGGGGAAACACTCTCTATTCTGCTCTGTGTCAGTGTGTATCATGAT